CTCAGAGACTAATGAAAAATGATGAACGGATTGGGAAATAACAGTCATGAAGAAAGGGGAGGTAGTTGTGACAGGGCCCAATGTGTTTCTTTGTTGTGGCTATGGCAACCAACCAGGGACTGTCTTAAGGATTCATTGAACTTCCAATGGGCTTCTGAGTTCTAGCACTAAATGGGGGAAGGCTCTCTCTCTAGAGAGGTTGTAGAGATTTCTGGAATGACTGAGAGAATGTGATTCTGCAATGGATGGGAGTGGGCTTTTGTTGTTGTTTGTTTTGTTTTTGTTTGTTCTACTTCTCCTTTCTACAAGATAATCACCTCCATTATCTGTCCTGATAACATTGTAAAAGCATCTTGGCATTCTCTATGTGTCCCATTGAAGACGCAAGCATGCACTCTGCCTCTCAGTAGTGGAACCTATCATTGTTCACACACTTACACACTTTTCATGCCCTTGTCATGGTCTATGCAGTGTGGTGGCAGTGGTGGTGGCAGCGGTGACACAGTGGTGTGTGTGTGTGTCCACAATTCTGGATTTCACAGGTTAGAATTTTTCAAAGATAGACACAAAAGTCAATTAAAGTCAGCATTCAGTATTTAGCAATGTGTTGAGCTTGTTTTAGATTATTCTTCAATGTCCAGAACCTTGCTGTGCCACAGGCAGCCTTAGCTGGGTATATGAGTGACCACTAGACCGATGAGCACCCAAAGTACAGAAAAGCAAACAATGAGGGTTTGAAGAGATTTTTGGAAGCAAAAAATATGGCAACAGAAGCTGATGACAGACACGTTTTACTTCTTATCTCCAAAGAGTAAAGACGAATCAGAGCAGGGAACATGGTTTCAGAGGCACAAAAGAACTCTTGGAAAATAATGGACAGAAAAATAAAGCTTGTCTAGAGTCCAGAGCTGAGGGAACAGAGAGTGGTAATAGAGCTAACTTGAGAAAAAACCCCCATTCATCTTCCTCCCGGGGCAGGCTGGAATTACCAAGCTATAGAGTAAGCATTGCTTAGCCTTTGCCCTCAGTGTAGGTGTATATGTCACCAGCTGACATCATCACCCAGCATGGCCTTCTCAGGTGAGGATCCTACTCCCTAATTCCTCCCTTAGTATCCTAGGGCAGCTGGATGTCCACCAGAGGGCAAGCAAGGCACGGAAGGCTGAAGGGGAAAGACACTGGCCAGGTCCTCCCCATGGTCAGAGGTGACAGAGAGAGTGTGGTGAACCCAAGCCTTCCCATGGAAGGAAATTCCAGCATAGCTCCACAGTGATAGCCCTGGCATCCTACCCTGCCTGTGAGGCTTGGTTTTTCACTCTCATTTTTAAGATGGAATTGAACACAAGATCAAGGCACAGAAATCAGTACTTTTTTCCATGGGCAACCTTGAAGAAAAGAAAACAATATGAAAGTACTTGTATCTCACAACACAGAAGCGATTATATACCCAGGGATGGACAGCAGCAATGGCAATGAACACAGCCTGAACGCTGTAAATTAGCAAGGAGGGCTTGGGGTGTACGCAAAGCTTTGGCGGTGACCACGGTGACGTCAAAGGGAGAACCAAGGAGAAACAGGAGTGATGCTGGCAGATCACAGAGGTGGTGCTCCATTGAGAGGGAGGAGGCTCCTCTTCTCAGAGCAGCAAAGTACAAGGAGCAAAGTAGCAGGCACCCTGACTCCTGTTCCTGAGAATTTATCGCCCTACATACTGTGACCTATTTGCCTCTGTCCTGTTTTCTCTTGCTAAGATCATTGAACAATCTACAAGCAGAGTAAACACAATGAACTTTAAAACAACCCACGGTTACCAAAGTAGGCCACCAGCTGGTGTTGCTGTCTCCTTCCTGCAAGGTCAGGAGACATGGAAAAGTGTGTGTGTGTGTGTGTGTGTGTGTGTGTGTGTGTGTGTGTGTGTGTGTACAGCCCAGAAGAATCCATGGCTTGTGTCTCGCCAAGGCTGGGTTATCAGTGGCGGGAAAGTTCTCAGGTGTGATTGTTAGTCAGGGTTGGCAGCTTGACTGGATTGGTAAAACATACCTGTCCTGTGCCTGTGAGGGGCATATGAGACAGTGACTGGGGGAGAAAGACTCTGGCTGAATGGGGAGAAAGACAACATTCTCAAGCCTCTTTGCTTTCTGAATGACTGCTTTTTTGGTCATGGTCATCATATACCAGCATCTTCAGCCTTTCAATGTAGTCCAAATACCAGCTACTCTTCAGGGTGTTTCGGGGCATTAAGTAACAGACTGGAACTGCTAAGGGTCCAGATTCTTGCATCGTATAGCTACCATGGTTTCTGCCCTGTGGTATACAGAAAGCCATTCTTAGCCACCCAAGTCCTAAGGTGCCAAATGATCTAATATTCCCCCTTGTAAGTTATGCACATTTCCTATTGAGTCTGTTCTTCAAGCAAACATTGACCAACGCAGCAAGAAAGGGTCTTAGGTTTGGTCTGGACTCACTGTCTACCCTTCTGGTAGAATCCCAGAGCAGTAGCCGGACCAACCACCCTGTCTGCTGTGCAGCACACACAGGAACACACAGGAAACTCTCTTCCAATGAACAGACTTATTGCCAACATAATGATGTTGCATACAATACTTGAGGCACAGTAAATGCTTTTGTTGTTTATCTGAAATTCAAACTTAGTTGGACATCCTCTCCTTTGCCCAAATACCCCTTCTCACAGGTGGTGAGGACTGCTCTAAACATCAACCCACCTGTCGTCTAGTTGGCCTCTTTACAACCTGGTACTCATGGGGCCTTCAGTCAAGGCTGTTGCTTTAAGTTAGCCTCCCTTAGTTAGGTGGTTGTAGTCTTCGGGTAGAAGTCTCTCTTGCTGTACATTTTCTCATTCATATAGCCATTGTGAAGTATTTGACCAGAGGAACTTCAACATACTTGTGAAGCTGGAAGTTTTTCTCTGTCTCACTAGGTCCCACTGAACCTGTTTCTCTCTCCCCAGCCAGATCCCTGCAGCTGCTCATGAAATAATCACTCAGAAGCTAATATTAAATATAATTGTTTGGCCAATGGCTCAGGCATATTACTGGCTAGCTCTCTCCTATAAATTAACTCATTTCTATTAATCTATATATTGCCACGACACTGTAGCTTACCAGCAGTTCTCCAGCATGTTACTCCTTGGCAGCTACATGACATCTCCCCAACTCCACCTTCCTCCTTTCTGCATCTTTGTTTGGATTTCCTGCCTAGCTCTATTCTGCCTGGCCATTGGCTGAAACAGCTTTATTCATCAACCAATAAAAGCAACACATATTCACACCATACAGAAGGACATGCCATGTCAGATTTGGGTAAATTATTTCTGAATAGATCCGAACAAACTTCTTACATCTAGTTTTTCTTGCTAACCTTCTTCCTCAAAGCGAGTTGTCACAAACCTGACAGTCACCTGTCTGCAAAGAGCATCTTTTGGTGTCATCTCTGCTAACAGTGCTTCAAATGAAATCTACAGACAATACTGTTTGGGAATTTATTGAGTCATTTTACTGATTTGCTGACAGTATGCCCCTTTTTCTGTTACTTGGGTAGGAGGTACAGGCATGTAAATTTGTTTTCTGAAATGGGTTCCTGTTCTTGTTATTGTTTGCCCACCTGACAAAAATCTAGAATGACTAAAGGCCAAGACTTTGAGCACATCTGTGAGGGATTAGCTGTGAGATGGGAAAAGGTGGGTGGTGCCGTTTCATAAGCTGGGACCTTGGCTGAATAAAGAGGAGGAAGTGAAATGAGTGACAGCATCATTTCCCTCCACTTCCTGACTGTGAAGGCAAGGTGACCGGATGGTAGCTCCTCTTGTCTCCATGCCTTCTCCAGCCATTGCCACACTTCTCTGTTGTCATAGAATGGCAAATCAGAGCAAATGCTTCCTTCTTGAAGCTGCTGCTTGTCAGCTGTTCTCTCAAAGCAACAAGATGGCTAAGACACATCCCATGAGTTTAAAGGGAGTTCTTCATCTGGACCAAGTGTCTCTGGGTTGTGTGAGATCCACTCAGCAGTTAGTGCTCTGTGTCCTCAAGCCCACACACCAGGGATGGGGAGCTTTCTTACTGCACAGGCTGATTTGATGGATACATCTCAAAGCAACTCTCTCAAGACAAAGGTCTTGGTACCTGGAGAGTCAAAACGCTCTGGCTTCTTCCCAACTGCCTCTGCTCTGGAGGACCAGTGCCTTGATATGGGGAGTCTCTCAGGGAGCCCCAGACAGGGCAGAGACCAAACCACCAAAAGGTGGAACCAAAAAGAAAACAAGAAACTGCACTGATCTAGTTTTTAATATATAGTTTTCCCTTCTGTCCTTATGTACACTGAAGAAAAGCATTAAGTGCAGAGAGCTGAGTTAATGGTGACCATATCCCTAGAGAATTCCTACAGCATCAAATGAAGTTGTCTGATAAGTTTAGGAAGAGGGCATGGGGGCCAGTAAAAGGAAAAATCTGGTTGCCCAAAGACAATAAAAAGTATGTGGGATGAGACAGATCACACATGAACTAATGTAGAGCAAGAAATTTAACATTTTAATTTTGCTCGATGTATTTTGAAGGAAAAATAGATCAGAGAAGAAGAGTACAGAGACAGACTCTCTGTCAGGAGTGTGTATCACAGAGCATTCAGTCATAGAGAGGGAAGAGTAGGACCGCAAACTGTTGAACACAGCCTCGGTAAGCAGGATAGCTAGGGTTCTCAGGGAGGACTCCCCATTGCAGAGACAAGTTCTCACTCCTCCGGGGTATGAATGAACCATTCTCAGATCAAATCAGATTCATATGGATGGGAGTCACATTGTGTGACATTGGCTGCTGATGTTCTGAAGTTGAACACTGAGGAGAAGGATAAACAGAGAACTACTGAAGGCACATGATCTTCTCTGCCCCAAACTAGAGAGCAGAGGCAGGAGGCCACTGCAGGAAAAGTCCCTGAGCACAGGGCTCTGCAGGCAGGGGAGCAGGGATCAGGGACAGGCTCTAGTGGCAGGGACTCAGTGCCTGTAGCTCTTCCTGCTGGAGGAGGTGGTGGTGTACTTGATGGTGGAAGAGCTGCCACCAGAGGAGCTGAGGCCACCACTGATGCCTCTGCCACTGCCAGAACTGAAGCCACCTCCAAGGCCATGGCTGCTGCTGTAGGAGTAGCTGCTGCCTCCTCCCAGGCCCAAGCTGCCGCTGGCACCACTTGCACTGCCATAGCCGCTGGACACGGTGGACTGCACCACAGCTGTGAGGGAGGCAGAGGGGACAAGGGTCACGCTGAGCCCACGCTGTCCAGTGAGACAGGCACAAGGCAGGGGTCGGGCAAGTGGGCAAGCATAGTACTTACAGATGTTGACTGGTCCAACGCCTTCACCATTCAGCCTGGAAGAGGAACAGGGCAGGTAAGAACTCAGGAGACAAGACCTCAGTCCCCATGGTAATCCTCAGTCTGGTGACAGTTGACAGAGAACCCTCTGGTCTAGTGGTTCCTGAAGGTAACCATTGTGGCCACAGCTAGTGCTCCCTCATCTTGTGCTCAGTGCCTGGCATCAGAAGGTGTCTGCAGGGGCTGGAGGAGGGGTGAGCACTCACCTGCACTCCTCTCCTTCCAGCAGCTTCCTGTAGGTGGCGATCTCCACATCAAGGGCCAGCTTGACATTCATGAGCTCCTGGTACTCCTTCAGCAGCTTGGCCATGTCCTGTTTGGTCTTCTGCAGGGTGTCCTCCAGCCCTTCCAGCTTGTTCTGCCCTCAGAAGTCATGTGAAGCTGGGCACAGTGGCACTGCGATTACAAATGTGTACTACCGTGTCCAGCATCACATGGATTCTGGGTATTCAAGTCCTCGAGCTTATGTGACAAATTTGTTGTCCACTGTGCTCCAGTCCCCAAGGACTATTTTTGATGATCACACTGCCATAGCATGCCGATATGAAGAGAGCGATGGACACTCAGGCCGTGACTTCCTTCCATCCTCGAAACCCTCTGCTCCTGTTCTGCTCTCATTCCCCGGGAATCTCCATCAGGTTGGTGGCACGTTCCTCACCCGTGCTGGCCCAGTTCTTCTTTCCAATCAGTTACTGTGTGAAGCTGCAGTCCTTGAATCTCCCATTACAAAGTTCAACCTTATGATCCAACCACTCTTAGCAACTGGGTTTGGTTCTGTTTAGGTGACGAATCCTTTGATTAGGTTGGATCTGTCTTGCTCATTAGCTTGTTTCCTACATGTGGGGATCGCATGGCCTCATCTCTCTGTGCTTCTTTTATCCCAGCAAATATTTCCAAGACGGTGTTGACTCACCCTCAGGCCAAGCTGTGATATTTTCTCCCATACTGCCCATAGCACAGTGGCTTCTTGACCTAACTGAACAGATCTCATCTGCTATGTCGCATAGTCCTCAGAAATACCTTTCCTGATGGCATCAGGTCATCTCTGTGTCTGTTTCTGTGACCTGCAGAGGTACACGCTCTGATGCACAAGAGAGACAGTATGTGCATTTTCCTGTGGACGTGTTTTACTCCCGAATCCAGCACACACTGATCTATGGCTTCTTGGGACTTAGACAATTTGGTGTTTTGGATTCTTAACATTCTTAATTAGGAGATAGCAGATTGGGTAGCTCTCTTAGAAAATGTCTAATGTATGTCAGCATTGCATCAGGCTTAAAGTCTGCCCTGGTCCTCTGTGTATATTAAGGTTTCCAGTTCAGTGTTTTTATGGGATTCCTGAGTATATGAACGAGTGGGTCTCTGATTCTCATGCCTTTGCTTGAGCTCTTTTCCTTCTGTTGTTTGTCTTGTCCAACTCCGATGTAATAGTTTTTGTTTTATGTTGTATTTTGTTATAATATAATAGAACCCTGCTTGTTTTCTAATGAGAGACAGAAAGGGAGTGGATCTGGAAGGGAGGGGAGTAGGGAGGGACTAGAAGGAGTAGAGGGAGGGAAACTAATCAGGATATATTATACAAGAAGAAAGTTTATTTTCAATAAATTAAAAATATGCTGGGGAGACAGAAATATAGAGATAGAAAGATGGGTGGACAGATGATAGATAGATGACAGACAGACAGACAGACAGACAGACAGACAGACAGACAAGTGTGTCTAGGTTCTTTTCTGTTCCACTTTTCCTCCTGCTCTAGGTTCTTTACTTCTTAGAGCAGGGTCTAGCTCCGGGGTGCAAGGGCAGGGCGATTTGCTGTGAGAGGATCCAAGCTTCTTTTCAGAGCATTTCTAACTCCCAATGAAGCCTGAAGCCTTCTACAGTTCAGGAGATGGATCTAAACATGCTTCTGCCATTTTATATAAATAAACATTCAGCCACAATTTCATTTACGCCAAAATAAACAAGTGCATTCATCTCAGTATGCAAATTTGGTTTCTCTTTAATAAATGCTAAAACATTGTGCATGCCACTAGGAGCAAATTGCTAGAGAAGCACAGGCAGGTGTGGGTTAGGCTTAAGCTGAACACTGCTGCCAAAGAGGCTGTAGATGTGGGGATGAAAAGCTGAGAGTTATGAGGGGACGGCTCTGGGAACATTAACTGCCCCTGCGGGAGCCACTTCTGGAGACAGACCCTATAGTCCTTTCTCCTCACTTCCTTTGAACTAATGCCAACTCTCTTCTCCTCCTTCTTCAAAAAAGTGTCTATGTGTGTGTGTGTGTGTGTGTATGTGTGTGTGTGTGTGTGTCTGCACACGCCTGTGTGCCCTTGAAGGCCAGAGGTTTCAGATTCCCTGGGGCCAGAGTTACAGACAGCTATGAGCTGCCCAATGTGTTAAGGTGTTAGGATTCAAACTTGGGTCCTCTGAAGGAGCAGAAAATGTACTTACCTGAGGCACCATCTCTCCAGCCCAGTGCTGGCTCTTCTCAAGCCCAGCTACAAGGCTGAGTTACTTCTCAAGGAATCCCCAGGGTTCCTTGAGAATCTCCTGGGGTCAGGAGCAGCCTGCTCCCTTCTCTGACCCTGCTGCACCCCACTCCACCTCTGGGCTGGGTTCCCATGCATGTGGAGCTCCTGTATTTAGTCACTGGGACTGGAGTCCACAGACTCTATACTGAATTAAGGACCATTCAGGTTGAGTGGACAACTATAGTATGTCCTTGGGCTACTCCTTAGATTTAACAGTGTCACTAAAGCTCCTTCATTGTCGTTTCTGGTCTGAATGCCAGAAAAGGGGATTGTCTAGCCTCCTTTGGAGGGCAATGAAACATTCAGTCTTGCCACTGAGGCACCCTTCTGCACCTCACATGCATCTATGTCATTACAAAAGGACTCTGTTTCTTCCCGTGCAGTCCTCAACGGGTGGAGAGATGTACAATGTTTCCTCTCAATGGGCCTTAAATTCACAGTCTAGATCCTAAAGTCGTATCCCCTGGGTAGCAGAAAGAGTAACTAGATTTCCTCTCCAGATGGTCTACAATTACAGCATGGTCTGGAAACAATTTCTGATAGCCTTCTCTATGGAAAAACATTAAAAAAAGACAGGTTCCTATTGTGTAGCTGAAACTGACCTTGCATTCGTGGCAACTCCCCTGCCGTAGTCTCTTAAGTGCTGGGATCCAGACATGAGCCACCAAACCTGGCTCTTATACCTTTCTACTAAGCTCAATATTAAAAGTTTAAGAAAAGTCAGGCACGGTGGCACATACATTTAGTACCAGCCAGCACTCAGGAGGCAGAGGCTCTGTACATTGGAGGTCAACTTTGTGTACATACCTAGTTCTAAGATAATCAGGGCCACACAGTGAGTCTCAAAAACTATTTTAGACAGGACCCAAATTTTAAAATGTTACAAGTGAGTTAGAATTATGCCTACTTGAGATAATTGGTATTTTTGTATACACCTTAGATTTCTCCCTCTCTCCCTCTCCCTTTTTTCCTCCCTCCCTCTCATTTCTTCCTCTCTCTCTCTCTCTCTCTCTCTCTCTCTCCTTTTTTTCCTCCCTCCCTCTCTGCTCTCTTCCCTCCTTTCAGCACACCTCACTTTCTTGTGTGGCATTTTTGTAAGCCTGCTTACAAAATTAGTGTTAGATAAAAATACAGAAGCCACTCTGAGGCAGCCTCTGAGCTTGATTTTTTTAAACCTTAATTTGGAATCGGTCTTAGATACAAAAGACGGGAAAACAGTTCGGAGGGATGCTATGTAATCAAACTCAGCTTCCTTTAATATTGATATACTTCACATTGACATTTCTCATTCATTACAGTTAGTGAACAAATATAAATATGCTCTCAAGGGGTCCACACTTCTTAGTCTTGGGCCTTTGTTCAATGCAGGATGCCCTCCTCCACCTTCATCATATGTCCCTTGTCTCCTCTTGCTGGAGACAGTTTCCCAGGGTTTTGATGCTTTTATGGCCTTGAAAGTTTTGGGGAGCAGAAGCCCTGTGTTCCATAGACTCTTTTAGTTGTTATTTTGACATTTTCCCTGATGATTTCAGCAGGGGCTCTGGGATTCTTGGAGAAGACCTAGAGCTGAGGCTCCTTCTGATCATGTGATGGTGTCAACAGGTCACACTGCAGTGGATGGAGCTCTGAATCACCTGGGTAAGGCAGCTCCCCAACTTCTTTGCTGTACAGTTCCCCTTCACCTCCTTCCCACACCGCACCTTTGACAAGAAGTTCTTCAGCACAGCCCACACCTGGGGAGGAGCTGCAGCCCGCCTCGAGGAGGGAGGAATACTTACACAAACGGTTTGCAATCCTTTCATGTAAAAGTTGCCTATCTTGTGTCACTGACTTATTTCGTTAGCCATTTGTTTGTAATTATGTAGGCTCATGAGTATTTTCCTTATACTTTGGGTCATAATCCAATAGTTATTTATTTGACAAATGGCTTAAGTTATTCTAATTCAGCCACTGGGATCTCTGTTCACTGTGGGTTTGTTTTAGGCCTAACCGATATTATTTCTTCCTTACTTTCTGTCATGGTCTAATGCACTAGGAGCCTAAAACCAGTCATTTCTCTTAGAGGCCTTCCTTCCTGGTTGTATCAGGCAGGGTTGTTCAGAAATAAAAGCCAGCAGGACACTCATGCATGGAGACTTTGTCTTTAAGGAACTATCTTGCCTAATTACAGAGCAGGAAAAGTCTCAAATCTATAGAACTGAAATGTTGGTTTGAGTCTGAAGACCTGGAATCCTAGTTTAAAGGCCTTGGTTGGGAAGCCTCTCTTACTCAGAGGGGGTCAGCCTTTCATCCTACTCCAGCCTTCCTTCTGCTGATGGAATGAAGGCCACTCACAGTGTGGAGCAACGGGCTTTACTCAGCCTCCTCTCCAAATGCAAACCTCATCCTAAAGCAACCTCACAGACCAGAGCAATATTTGATCAAGTATCTAAGCACTCTGTAGTCCCTTCACACTGATGCATGAAACTCATTGTAATAGTGATATTAGGCCATAGCACTAAGAACAGAGATCTAGATACTAGATATGTTCAATACAACTGAAGTGTCACAGTTTCTAGACCCTGTCAGGTAACATAGATGTGTGTGTGTGTGTGTGTGTGTGTGTGTACATACACAAAAATACATATATACACATACTTACACAAAGAACCTTTTCCTGTAGTTTCACTCATTTCCAAAGCCCAGTACATCAGCCTTTGCTCTCCTTTCCCTTTAAGATATATAGATATATGTATGTATAAAATGTATATATATGGTATTCATTTACATATGACATTCATTTTATATGTGGTATTCATGCTTTATGGTATTCACTTACTTTTGCAGTACTGCAGATTGAAGCCAGAGCCACGCATGTGCTAAGCAAACACTCTACCACTGAGCTGCATCCCAGCTCTGTGTGTTTCCGTAAGCAACCATCCCATACCCAACTCCAAATCATTAGTATCGTGGTCCTTCTGGCCTCTTCCCTTGCTTTCCTACAGAAAGTGAAGAGAAATGTGGCCCAGACCACCTGTCACCTTTTTCTTAGATGTCCTATTTCACAATCTGCATTATAATGATTAATTTTATGTGCCAACTTAAATGGAACATAGGTGTCCAGGTATTGGGTGTGGCTGTGAATGTACTTCTTTGAGATTAACTCTGCAATGATAGAGTAAAGCAAACTGCCTCAATAATGAGAATAGGTCTTATCAAATTAGTTGAAGGAACTAACAGAACAAAGAGGCTGAGTCAGAGGGCATTCCCTTTGCCTGACTACCATTGATGGGACATTCCATCAAAGCAAATATTGGCTGTCCCGGGTCTCCAGCTTGGTAAGTGTAGATATTACAACTTGTCAGCCTCTGAAATTACACCAACCAAATATTTAATACTGTATCGACCTCTGTCTCCTTATATCCTTTTTTCCCTTAGATGAGACTGTCTGTTAGATACTGACTAATACACATATACAGTGTGTTCAGAATTCCCAAGTCATGTCCCCATGGGATCAACAGTACTCCAACAAAGAGCCTTGCCATGTAGTCTCCCTTGTTCCCAAAGCTCAGTACATCAGTCTTTGCTTTCCTTCCCTCTTCAGTGAGGTATGTAATAAAGTTGGATTATTTTAATCACATTGGGCATTCCCTTGTAGGTCACCTCAAACTCATAAGTCATTGTGGGGAGGAGGTTCTGGGGGAGACAGCTCAGTCAGTAAAGAGCTCATTGCACAATCTTGAGTTTGATCCCCCGCATTTGTGCACAAGCCAAGCCCTGCAGAACATGCCTTAGACATTGAGCTTGGCTGAATCAGTGAGCACCAGGTTGAGAAAGAGACTCTGAAGAAACAATGTTTTAAATTAACTAGTTGTAATTCCATACACATCTACGATGTATTTTGATCACATTCACTCTTGACTCTTCCTCCTACCAGATCCCGGCACTGCGGGCACTGCACGTTGTCTGTTTATCACTCTTTCCTTCTCTCGCCACAAAGTATAATTTGTACTTCCCAAATATGCATGGCTGTGGGGACCTCCACTGGAGCATGGTTGGCCTATCAGGAACCACATCCTCAAAGAAAACTGACTCTACCCATCTCAAACTTTTAAATCATCAAAAGGAGGGGCCCCTAGGGGATGGCTCCAGCAGTATAGTTCTTTTTGCACAGGCACCAGGTCTTGAGTTTGAGCCCTAGTACCAACTGCAGTAGTTTCTCAGCTACAGGTGGGAGCTCATGAGACACTCTCCCAGCCATGCTGGAATGTTGACTTGTTTCATCTCCTGCAGGTTTTATGCAGCTAACCACAGCTGCTGTAAATTCACAAGTGCCGCTGTCCTATCAAGTACAGAAGACATCATTTTGTTCTGGTCCTCCCTGACTCTTATAGGCTTCCTGCCCCCTCTTCTGCCATGGTCCCTGAGACTTTGAGGGAGAGGGCGTGATGAAATGGCACCTACAAGAGAGCCACGTACTCTGTACCCTTGAACCAGTTGTGACTTTTGTTTGATGTTCTAGTTGCCCTCTAGACCTTATGTAGTGAAACTTTTCATTTACTTCAACCTGTAACGGTGTTAGACTGTGTGGTCTGTGCCTCTTCTGCAGTGCTGATATGATCATATATGGCTTCTTTTTGGTATTTTGAGATTCCAGATTATAGTGTTTGCTTTTGAATGTTGAACTAGCCTTACACATTTGGAATGAACCCTGGCTAGCCATAGTGTAGGATTCTTTGTATAAGCCACAGCTAGCTCTTTAGTACCATTACATTACATTTTATGTAATGTTTATGAGAGGTGTTAGCTTATGGTTTTCCTTTCTTCAAGTAGCTTTCTCTAGTTGTGTTGTTAGGGTGATATTGGCTCAAATAGAGTGAGTCATACATTGCTTCCTCCATGCCTGTCTCCCAGAGGCAGTTGTAGGTGCCATTTCATTTGTTCATGTTGGCATAATTAGGCAATGAACACGTTTCATGGGTTCTCTCATAGGTTTGACTGCTTTCCTTAGTTGGTGCATGGTTACCCTGACCATTTCTTCATATCCTACTATTTTGCAGCTTTTAAGGTTTGGGTACATTTCCTCAAAGTTATCTAATGTGTTGACATAAAGACTCATAACTTTACTTTATGATACTTTAGATGTCTAAGTATGTTGAGATTTTAACTTTGTCTAAACCTACATACTTTGTGAATCATTTCCCTTCCTGTTGTTCCTTATGGATATAGACTCACTTGTGGGGTGCATGGTTTTGATCAGTCATTCCATGCCTGATATTTGGGATGAAAGTGAGATAGCGCCCATGTAAAAGGGGAGATGCTCATTTTGGCGGGGGATGATTAGTAGTGAACACTTGAGGATACCTATATGTCAGGTTCCAGAATTACTTTACATAAAATAATCAACATTACAGTCTAGAGATTTGGATTCGTTTGTATTCTCTGACAGCTAAAGAATTTAAAGGCAGGGGAAATCTTGAATGCAACAGGCAGCAGTAGGGGATATCACAGACACAGTAGAGATATTCAGCTCAGAAAAGAAAGGGTTTGATTCTGGGTGAGGAAACACACAAACACACAGACACACACACACACACACACACAGAGTCTCTCTCTCTCCGCCTCCCTCTCTCTCTCTCCCTCTCTCTTTTCTCCTCCCTCCCTCTCTCCCTTCCTCCCTCCCTCCCTCCCTCCCTCTCTCTCTCTCTCTCTCTCTCTCACACACACATACACTCACACGCTCACATACATATACATACACACACGCACAGTCTCTCTCACACACATACACACACATTTGAAAGTCTCTCTCTCACACACACTCACACACATACACACACATTAAAAAGTCTCTCAGCTTTTGCTCTAACTAGGCAGGGATGTGATTCTCCAACAGATATTTTGAGTTAACACAGATGCAGAGGGACACATAGTCTCATAAAACCAGGCAGAGGAACCAGGCCATTGGGTTTGCATAGTTAGAGCAGTCAATATGCACAGGCTCACATGTACAAATTCAAGCATCAGTGGATGGGATTTTTTCTGGATATAAAATCTACTGAATTGGTTCAGATCTTATCTTTCTGTCTGTCTCCAATCAATACACTCTGAGATTTTAGATGGAGTCCAGGGATATAAGTTTACGGAAGTCATAGATGGAGGTTATCCAAAAGCTGTCACATAATTATTATGGTGTGGATACCATGTGAGAATTGCACACAATATGGCAGGCCAGACACTGCTGGCTCTGCTGGATCCAGATGGAGATGGAACTCATCTGGGAAGGGATGCTGAGTGCTAGGATACCATAACACAGGTGTGCTGACCTTCCATAGAGGCAGAGAATGAAAACATTAGGGTTGCCATTTTCTTTCTTTTTTTAATTTAAATTAGAAACAATCTTATTTCCTCTACCTCCCATCCTCCCATGTATCTCCCCGAACAACCCCATCCACTTCCCAGGGAGAGTGGAGCCTTCCATGGGGGATCATCAAAGTCTGTCACATCATTTGGGGCAGGGCCTAAGCCCTCCCCCATGTAACTAGGCTGAGAGAGTAACCCGGGGAATGGGCTCCCAAAGTCCATTCATGCACTAGGAATAAATACTGGTTCCATTGATTTTCTTTAAAAGAAATAATGCACCACTTAAAAAGCCAGAATATGCCATACGCCATTTTCTAAATCTGCTTTATTTGGGAGTTACAAGAAGCAAAGAGCTGAGAAAACATCACGTGGAGAGTTCTTTGAATCACTCAGTTGGCCACTCGCTTCTGCCAAGGAGATTCACAAAACTGGAACCCAGGGAGGGATTCTCAGCATGAAATGGGCAGAAATAATTTTGTTGACATATGTAGCCAAAAAGGTAGAGCATTAGAAGCAAACATTTGTTGATTAAGTGACATAGTGAGTGACAAGTTATGATGGATCATCATGTGAAGTTAGAGATCAGCATTCTGAAGAACAAAGGGGCTTGATAAACATATGTGGAGAGGAGGAACGAGAACTCAACTCCTCAGTCCTAACCAGAGAGCAGAGGTCTAAGGTCAGCAAGGACAGCCCCTGAGCACAGGGCTCTGCAGCCAGGGGAGCTGGGATCAGGGACAGGCTCTGGTGGCAGGGACTCAGTGCCTGTAGCTCTTCCTGCTGGAGGAGGTGGTGGTGTACTTGATGGTGGAAGAGCTGCCACCAGAGGAGCTGAGGCCACCACTGATGCCTCTGCCACTGCCAGAACTGAAGCCACCTCCAAGGCCATGGCTGCTGCTGTAGGAGTAGCTGCTGCCTCCTCCCAGGCCCAAGCTGCCGCTGGCACCACCTGCACTGTCATAGCCGCTGGACACGGTGGACTGCACCACAGCTGTGAGGGAGGCAGAGGGGACAAGGGTCACGGTGAGCCCACGCTGTCCAGTGAGACAGGCACAAGGCAGGGGTCGGGCAAGTGGGCAAGCATAGTACTTACAGATGTTGACTGGTCCAACGCCTTCACCATTCAGCCTGGAAGAGGAACAGGGTAGATAAGAACTCAGGAGACAAGACCTCAGTCCCTATGGTAATCCTCAGTCTGGTGACAGTTGACAGAGAATCCTCTGGTCTAGTGGTTCCTGAAGGTAACCATTGTGGCCACAGCTAGTGCTCCCTCAACTTGTGCTCAGTGCCTAGAAACATGGAGGTTTCCTCAAGGACTAGAGGAGGGGTCAGCACTCACCTGCCCTCCTCTCCTTCCAGCAGGGTTCTGTAGGTGGCGATCTCCACATCAAGGCCCAGCTTGACATCCAGGACCTCCTGGTAATCCTTCAGCAGCCTGGCCATGTCCTGTTTGGCCTTCTGCTGGGCATCCTCCAGCCCTTCTAGACTGTCTCTGGCAACTCTGAAGGCTGTTTCCCCACGCTGCTCAGCCTCATCGATGGCAGCCTGCAGGTTGGCACACTGGGCAGAGAGAGAGCAAGAAATATAAACTTGCATAGTGGTTCTCTCAAGAGACTGAGCACCAGATCTTTGCTCCCAGTAAGCAAGAGTCTAGAGAACAGAAAACAAAGGACACCAATCTCTGACATTTCCTGTCTATCCCACCTTCTTCTTGATGTGCTCGATCTCAGATCTCAGCCTCTGGATCATGCGGTTGATCTCTGCGATCTCCTGCTTGGTGTTGCGCAGGTCAACTCCGTGTCTTCCTGCTGTGACCTGCAGCTCCCCATACTGAAGGTCAGTTGAAGAGATAACATTAGTGTGTTTTTTTGCATGCAAAAGCAAATTCACTTCTAGATGAGCTGCCCTATCATTGGTGTCATGACTTTTCCTCAGGAGAATCTTTAAGAGAACATGGACTGCATAGCTCTCTTGGGAACTGAAAATGTTCTGTGTAATCTCCTGGGGACCATTTTTCCCAGTACAGCTCATGCAAGGAGAGCATGGACCCCATTTATCGCAACTTTCTTTTACTCTGGGTTCTTTTGATCCTTGAATTACAATGTAATTCTATAATGCAAGTACAAGGTTCATTTGCAATAACAGGACCCCTTTTTCTTCTTAGTAGAGCTCTACTCCAATGAAGTCTGAGGATAATGGAATTCATTGTGGGTCCCAGGTATTCCTCATCAGCCTCTAATTCAATACTCACTTTTGTCTGGTACCAGGACTCAGCCTCAGCCTGGCTCCTCTGAGCAATCTCCTCGTATTGGGCCTTAACCTCAGCAATGATGCTGTCCAGGTCCAGGCTGCGGTTGTTGTTCATGGAGAGGACCACAGACGTGTCTGAGATATGAGTTTGCATCTGAGACAGTTCCTACAGAACAGAATGAGGCAACATCAGCTTTGGATGTGAGGATTTCAGATGTTCCCAACATCCCACTCTCAGCTTTCTCAGGGGAAAGTAATGGGAATGGGGATAGAGTGTAAGAGAGAGAAGGAGAGAGAGAGAGAGAGACAGAGACAGAGACAGAGACAGAGAGAGAAAGACAGAGACAGAGAGACAGGGACAGAGAGACAGAGGCAGAGAGATACAGGGGTGACTTACTGCATCATGGAGAGCTCTCAGGAAGTTGATCTCATCTGCCAGACTGTCTGCCTTGGCTTGCAGTTCAACCTTATTCATGTAGGCTGTATCTACATTCTGAGGAAACAACAAGGAATAAGGCTAGTTCTCTTGCTCTGTCTATTTTCCTCCACCTCCCCAGTTATCATGCTCCAGAATGCACCAGACATGCAAATCATTTCTTTCCATCATCAGAGAAGCCATCCCTGTGACTTAGTCACCTCACCTTCTTCAGGGTCACAAATTCATTCTCTGATGCAGTACGATTGTTGGTTTCATCTTCATATCTATGAGAGGGAGGGCGTAGCACATTGTAGCCAGTGAGCAGATGGCATCAAATGCAGCCTCTGACCCAGTCCCAGTGTCCATAAATGGCACACTAGAGTTGATTCTGTTGTTATTGAATAGTTCATTTCTTTTTCTCTCCCCAAGCCTCCCATGACTCTCCAAAATTTTAGTCTGTTGCTCTTTGGCAATAAAATGTCATTTTACATTTATGGCCTGGCTACTTCAATTTATAGAGACCATGTCCAAATTTGAGTCTCCATTATCATGATCTTTGATATCCTGAATTTGTCTTCTCTTTCTTTTTAACTCACTTGTTCTTGTAGTCCTCAACTGTATCCTGCACGTTTCTCAGCTCTGAGTCCAGGCGACCCCTTTCTGCCAGGACACCATCCAGCTGTCTTTGGAGCTTATTAATATATTGTTCAATCCATGGCTCAAAGTTCTGTCTCACTGTCTTTGTGCCCTGTTCCTGCAGCAGGGTCCACTTGGTGTCCAAGACTTTATTCTGTTGTTCCAGAAATTGCACCTGAATGGGCAGAGTGTGAGCAGAAAGTTGACTTTCATTCAGTGACCCTTCACTAGTGTGACATCTGTCTCAGGCTGTCTTCCTAAACAGTCTATGCAGTGCCTAGACCTGAGTGTGAGGGAGACCGTCCAGAGTGAAGCTGCCACATCACCCCTCTGAGGAAGGCAGAGCTCTCTGGCCGGGCATAGGCAGCCTAGAGGAGGCATGCTGGTTGTGGTTCAGTTTAGTGTGGCTGGGATGGCTCCCAAACTGCCCTTGGACACATCTCCCTCAGTACTGTCATCTGCAAGGTGAGGCCTGAACTCATCTCAGCTCATCTGAGTCAGACACCCTTATGGGGCCACCTCTGGAGGAGAGAACTTTGTCTCTGAACACCAGCTGCTAGGACAGAGTCAACCAGAAACCATGGCACTGTTTGTGCAAAGCCTAGAATATCTTCCCTCCACCGCTGCCTTGGCATTCCTCCAGAGCTGCTCTCGCATAGGCTGCTCTAGGAAGAACCAGCCTCACCTTGTCGATGAAGGAGGCGAACTTGTTGTTGAGGGTCTTGATCTGCTCACGCTCCTCGGTCCTCATGCGCTGGATGGTGGGGTCGATTTGCAGGTTCAGAGGGGTGAGGAGGCTCTGGTTCACGGTGACCTCTTGGATGCCTCCATAGCCACCACCAAAGCCAGCTCCACCACCGAAGCCAAAGCCACTGCTGGCTCCTCCAAAGCTGAAGCCTCCTCCAACTCGGCTGCCATAGCCTCCTCCAATGCTGCAGCTGCCGCCTCTGATGGAGATCCTCTTGGAGCTCCCCACACCATAGAGGCTCCTGCTGCCAAAGCCAGATCCTCCACACATAGCCCCAGAGCCACCACTGCCCCGGGAGCGGCACACAGACACACTGCTGAAGCCAGAACGGTTGAGCCCTGGCACTCTGGCTGAGCTGGCACTGAAGCCACGGTGGCTGGTTTGACTCCTGATGGTGGTTTTGGTAGACATGGTTCCTGGAGATGAGAAGTCTGTGAAGTGGAGGTAATGCAGGGCAGAGCTGGGCAGATGAGGGTGATAGGCTCTGGGCAGCTGCTTATATATGGTCTAGATGGTCTTGCTCATTCCTAAAGGTCAGCTTGCAGACTGGGAAGTTCAGGGCTTTACACAATGCAAGGTCACACCTAGATTATTAAAAAATGTTATGAAATATTGAGGTTGTGGTTTGGGGTTCCTTTAGTCAAGGTAATTGCTCCAACCTCTAGTTTCGATTTAATCTAAGTACAGTAAATCAGTTCTTAATTTACTCTATCTCAGTTACTCACCAAATTAGGTTCTGCAGGTCCTGCTGAATATGCTGAGAGCCCTCTGCTCCCTGACTGCTCCTGTCTTTCATGGAGATATGGAGACCAACTGTTGTTTTATGCCAACAGAATATGTCTTTGCTGACCCTCAGTGATTAGGAACATGAACACAACCTGTTTTCCTTTTGATGCCATTTCAAACAGAGAAGTCAACCACATATTTGCCCCACACTCCTGTACCAGCTCTGACAAGCAGCTCACATCCAGCCTTACTGTTTTGATATATGTCCCTCAGTTGACTCACCAACCCTGTATTTGAAAGCAGATCTCGGAAAACTTGATTTCTTCAGTCATCATTTCAGTATTATATCTAAAGATAGGTGGTTTTGTACATATGTAGTAAATGACCATGTCTTCAATATATATATATACATATATATATATATGTGTGTGTGTGTGTGTGTGTGTGTGTGTGTGTGTGTGTATTCCCTCCCCCCCAAGGGATTGTAAATACTGCACACTGGAGAACAGTACTTGTTGCTTTTGCAGAGGACCTGACTTTAGTTTCCAGCATCCACATGGTGGGTCACAACCACCCATAATTCGAATTCCAGGAAATGTCCCATCTCCTCTTCTGACCTCTGACGGCACCAGATACTTATGTGTTACCCATATTTACATACTTGAACATAGTCCTATATGCAAATAAGATAAATAGTACTACAGAAATGGTTGATTTTCCAATACCATTGTTAGCATTACTTTTAAAAATATTTTGCTTGTTTAAAATTGTAAATACATTTTTTTCATGTTTTATGTGGGTCATAGACGTTAAGTAGCTTAACAGAATCTAGTATTATCTCATAATCCCTTTTCTCCTAGTCAGTTAAAAATGTATATAGGTGCTTTGCCTGAATGAATGTCTGTGAACCAATTGTGAGCCTGCTTCCCATGGAGCCCAGAAGAGTGAGTCAGGTCCCCTAGAGTTATCAGAAGGTTGTGAGCTGTGAGCCACCATGTAGGAGCTGGGATTTGAACCCATGTCCTCCTCAAGAGCAGACATCTCTTATCTGCTGAGCCATCTCTCCAGTCCCTCTCCGAATATCTAGTTTGTTAAGGAATCCAGATTAGCTGTACTTAGTGTTTCCGCTTCTCTTTTCTACTTGATTGTTCACCGTGTTTGCTATAACAGGCTAGTATGTCTACCGCATGTTCTATAAACTAATATTACTTAAATCATGGACCCTAATGAGAGATATTCATGGCTTTTAAATGTAATTGCCCTTGAATGCATGTTTAAAACATGCACAACGCACATGCTTCTTATCTGCAAGTTGAATCTGGAATACTTGTTTAAGGAACCAGAGGCATGCCGATGTCATTTCCCAAGCACCTAGTTCCTGCATGTGGAAGCAAGCAGTGTTGTTTGTTCCCTGTGTGCCCGCTGAGCAATGTCCTTCACCGTGTTTTTGTGCTTTCCCTGTGTATATCGTTTGTGTGTGTGTGATATCAGTAGGATGATCTGTGTCTTATATGTTTATACATATGTAAATATGTTCTCTCACGGACAGCATATGCTGTAGCCTTGCTACCTTCCATTTCTGTTTTCTGAGATCTCCTTTTCACACTCTACAATCCCTTCCCAAACCAGGTGTTCTGGCCATCCTTTCCTGCATGCCCATTAGTGGCCGTCCGCTGAGCTGTTCGTGTTGAGCTCACTTCACTCTTCATCTTTATCAAGATTTTGTTGGTTTTTCTGTAATCTTTTGTGAATGTGGCAATCTTCTATTTCTTATAGCCTTGCTGTGTTCACCCTTTATTCTGATTTTATGGTCGATTTACTCAGGTTCTTGGTAACCTTTCAGTGTGCCTTCTTTTGTGTTAGTATTAGTTGGCTTGGTCTTCCTGTGTTTTGTTGAGGGCACGTATCTCCTGTGGACCCTGCAAAGGTCCTTTCTGTACCGGTCTTTGGATGGATATGCCATTTGCATCAGCGTCCTAAGAGGAGCCAGGGGCATTTCAGGGTAATAGGAACTCTAAGAGAGTAATTCTTTTATCCTTTAATTCAGTCAGCCCAGAAATGGTCACCACAGCACAGGCTTTATGAATCACAGGCTCTCTGCTTTCTTTTCCTCCCCACCAAAATGCTTATTAAGCAATAAAATGCTCAACTTGCCTGACCTCGGGCTGCCTACATATGTGGTTAAATATTATTCTAGAAGTGTCTGTGAGTTTCAGGGTGAGATTAAAGATTGAATGGGCTGACTAAGTTCAGCCCACTGTGTGTCCCTCATGGGTTGGCCTCTTCGGTCAGCTGACATCCCGAATACAGTAAAAGGCAGAGTCAGTGGGAAATGCTCTTCCTGGCTGCCCTGGAGCTGGTGTTGTTTGTCTGTTTAATTTTTCTTGCCGTCAGACTCAGACTAAGGCATCAGCACATTGTCGGTCTCCAGCCTGCTGGTTTGAACCGGAACAAGATCACTGGCTGTACGGCTCCAGCCTTAGTACTGGCCTGAGCAAGGCTATCAGCACTTCTGGGTCTCTCACCAACAGCTGGGAATTCTCAGCCTCCAAGCTTATGTGAGCCAGTCCCTAACTCCCCTCTGTCTCCCCCTCTCTCTGTGTGTCTCTGTCTCTGTCCTCCCTCTGTCTCTGTCTCTGTCCTTCATCTCTGTCTCTGTGTCTCTCTGTCTATTGTGTGTCTGTCTCTGTCTCGGTCCTTCTCTCTCTTCCATATCTTTTTCTCTATATGTCTTTATGTTTGAGCAGTTTTAAGTTTAGGGCAGAACACCTGTGTTTTGACTTGACAAAGAGAGCTATTTCACGAGTGAAGTGGTTTCTGAATTGTTAGTCGTATCTCCACGGGAACAAGACATGTCAAGTAAAGTACAGTTACCACATAAAATTATTTCCCTTAAGTCTCATGTATCCCATTCACTCCAGAGTTTCCAGGTCAGGCTTCTTATCCCTCCTCTGTCCTATATTTTAAGAAGGTTGATTTGTTCATTTGTAATCTGTTAGATTCTTTTATCCCATTGCACTCTCTGTCTTTAATGATCTTGACCTCATAAATTATTAGTTTTGCTTGTTTCAAGGATGAAGGTTTGTTCAGGAGTATAACACTCTGTGAAAGGTTGTGTTAAGGGAATTTCTGAGGGGTCAAGAAAATACTGGCACAGGGTTTATCTTTTAAACTGTGTGGACTGTAATAAAATGTGCCAAGAATTCTTTTTTCCTTTTATTAAAAATAATACTTTTTCTCACATGACATATCCTGATTATGGTTTCCCCTCCCTCTATTCCTCTGAGTTCCTCCCCTCCCATCTAGATCCATCCTCTTTCTATCTCATTAGAAAACAATCAGGCTTCTAAGGGATAATAATAAAATAAAACATAATAAGATAAAGCTAAATTAATATATCAGAATGTGACAAAAAGAAGGAAAAGAGACCAAGAAAAAGCACAAGAAACAGAAATATACACAGAGACCCACTCATTCACATATTCAGGAATCCCATAAATACAGTAAACTGGATGCTATAATATACCGGCAAAGGACAGTTTCTGTTTCTCTTACACAGGCTTCCCTGAGCCCCGAGGGGAAGGATTTGATGGAGACATCCCATTTAGCACCACATTTCCAAAGTCTCTCAGTCTCTGCATATTATTTGGCTGTGAGTCTCTGTATTATTCCCATGTGCTGCAGGGGAAAGCTTCTCTGGTGGTGGGTGATCAAGGCACTGAGTTATACATATAGAAAAATGCCATGATATGTTCTTTTAGTAGAACAGTGGTATTTGGTTTTGCCCTAGTCCCTGGGATATCTAGTCTCAGGTCCTTGGTTACCCAAGTAGTGTTGGGGATGGGTTCCGTCTTGTGGAGTAAGGCTTAAACCAAATCTGATATTGGTTGGCTATTCATACAGCTTTGTGCTATGATTGCACAGGTATACTTTTCAGGCAGGATACCACCAAAGGTCACAGGTTTTGTAGTTAGGTTGGTGTTTACATTTCTCCTTTGGGAACATGCAAAGTGCCTTCCTATACCAAAGACATCTTGTGGTGAAAGTTATGTGTATGTACCAACTTTACTTGTCTGTGTAGGGGTTATCTTCAGCAATAGGGCCTTGCCATCAGTTTGTGGATAGCAAGCTATAGTCTTGGCAACGGCCTTGGTAGTGTGGGGGTTCCCAAGGATTCCCTTTGGCCAACTACTCAATTAGATGTAATCCATGCCTCATACTGAAATCTTCATTTGCTATCCAGTGGGGGCTCTGTCTCCTCCATTATTTGGTCATTTCACTTAGGTCATATTGTAGGATATATATTTATGTCATACTTTGGTATATATTTTAGGAAGCTTCTATTACATTAGTCTTCCATATTACTTCTCAAATGACCCTTACATTTAGGTCTTTCTCCTGATATTTCTTCCCTCGTCTCCCTCTTCCTTCCCTCTCACCATTTGATCCTCCTGTTCAAGTGCCTCAACATCCATCCAGAACCATCTATTTTTTTCCTAGGGAGATCTATCTGTCCTCCTAGTCCATTACTCTATACCTAATCTCAGTGGGTCTATGGGCAGTAGCTTGGTTGCTATTGAATTCATAGCCAATACCCACATACAAATGAATGTACACCATATTTGTCTTTCTGGGTCTGGTTTATCTCCCTCAGGATGATTTTTTTCCAGTTCCATCCATTTAGATGTAAATTTCACGGTTTTACTTTTTTAAGAGGTAGAGTAATATTCCAA